ACAGGTAATTGGGGAGATCAAAAGAAAGCTCATCAAGCAAGAGCAGGGGTATCCCAAGTATTAAACAGATTAACTTTTGCTTCTACACTGTCCCATTTGAGACGTGTTAATTCACCAATAGGTAGAGATGGTAAATTGGCTAAACCCCGTCAATTACACAACACATTGTGGGGTATGATTTGTCCTGCAGAAACTCCAGAAGGTGCAGCTGTAGGCTTGGTGAAAAATTTGGCTTTAATGGCATATATTTCGGTAGGAAGCCAACCATCTCCGATCTTAGAGTTCTTGGAGGAGTGGTCTATGGAAAATTTGGAAGAAATTGCTCCATCAGCTATTGCAGATGCAACAAAAATATTTGTAAATGGATGTTGGGTTGGTATTCATAGAGATCCTGAGCAACTGATGGCTACATTAAGAAAACTTAGACGCCAGATGGACATCATTGTATCTGAAGTCAGTATGATCCGTGACATAAGAGATCGTGAAATAAGAATATATACAGATGCAGGAAGAATTTGCAGACCCTTACTCATAGTTGAGAATGGAGCTTTACTATTAAAGAAGAAACATATTGATCATCTTAAAGAAAGAGATTATAATAATTACGGATGGCAAAATTTAGTAGCCAGTGGTGTAGTTGAATATATCGATACATTGGAAGAAGAAACTGTAATGATCGCCATGAGCCCTGATGATTTAGCACAAGTTAAAGAATATGCTTACTGTTCAACATACACACATTGTGAAATTCATCCAGCTATGATTTTGGGTGTTTGTGCATCTATTATTCCATTCCCAGATCACAATCAAAGTCCAAGAAATACATATCAAAGTGCTATGGGTAAACAAGCCATGGGTGTCTATATTACTAATTTCCATGTGAGAATGGATACACTGGCTCATGTTCTCTACTATCCACACAAGCCCTTGGTCACCACACGATCCATGGAATACCTACGTTTCCGAGAATTGCCAGCAGGTATTAATTCAATTGTTGCTATCCTATGTTACACAGGATACAATCAAGAGGACAGTGTTATTTTAAATGCGTCTGCTGTCGAAAGAGGATTCTTTAGGTCTGTGTTTTACCGATCATATAAAGATTCCGAATCAAAAAGGCTTGGTGATCAAGAGGAACAATTTGAAAAGCCTACAAGACAAACATGCCAAGGAATGAGAAATGCCTTGTATGATAAATTAGATGACGATGGTATTATTGCGCCAGGAATTCGAGTTTCCGGCGATGATGTCGTCATTGGAAAGACAATAACATTACCTGAAAATGATGATGAGCTCGAAGGCACAACAAGACGCTATACAAAACGTGATGCTTCGACATTTTTGCGAAACAGTGAAACTGGAATTGTTGATCAAGTTATGGTAACACTGAACAGCGAAGGTTATAAATTTTGCAAAATACGCGTTCGCTCAGTACGCATTCCTCAAATTGGGGATAAGTTCGCTTCACGTCACGGTCAAAAGGGGACCTGCGGAATCCAATACAGGCAAGAAGATATGCCATTTACTTGTGAAGGAATTACGCCTGATATTATTATTAACCCACACGCTATTCCATCTCGTATGACAATTGGTCACTTGATCGAGTGCATTCAGGGTAAAGTTTCATCCAATAAAGGAGAAATTGGTGATGCCACGCCTTTTAATGATGCTGTAAATGTGCAGAAAATATCGTCGCTGTTACAAGAATATGGCTACCACCTACGTGGCAATGAAGTTATGTACAATGGCCACACTGGCCGCAAAATAAATGCTCAAGTTTTCTTAGGGCCAACATATTACCAACGTCTTAAGCACATGGTAGATGACAAAATCCATTCCAGAGCCCGAGGACCTGTGCAAATTTTGGTGAGACAGCCTATGGAGGGGAGAGCTCGCGATGGCGGTCTACGTTTCGGTGAGATGGAGCGCGATTGTCAGATAGCGCACGGCGCCGCCCAGTTTCTGAGAGAGCGGCTCTTTGAAGTGTCCGATCCTTATCGTATACACGTTTGCAACTTCTGCGGATTGATAGCCATTGCAAACTTAAGGAATAATACATTTGAATGCAAAGGCTGTAAAAATAAAACTCAGATATCCCAAGTGAGGTTGCCCTACGCCGCCAAGTTGCTTTTCCAAGAGCTCATGTCTATGAACATAGCACCAAGATTGATGGTAGTAAACTAAGTTACCTACCGAAAACAATCCCTGATGGTGTTAAACTAAAATCTAAGTTATCTATGTAAGTTTATGGGATGTATAACCAATAAAATTTTTAAAATTTTATCATGATTTTTATTATCACAAACTGACATTAAATGCAGCTTAATACAACAATTACAATACAAAATCCTACACTAAACTTCATAATTAATTTATATCTATAGCAATTAGAATGCCTCATTTGTCAAATCAAATTCATTCACTTCCTTTTTATGTAATTAAAATACATTTGTAGAATTCATAACATATTGTTCCTTTAACTAAAGCATTATCTAAATAGAAGAGTTAACATGTAGTTTTAATTGTATTTTTAAATCACAGTATATTAATGTTTATTAACAACTTTTAATGAATACAGACATGACAAGAGGCATTCCTAATTCTGCATAGAATTGAGGTAAATAGATTTAAAAAAGCAGTACAACAGTTACAATAAATAGGACATTTGATAACATGAATAAAATATATTTATAATTTAATACATCCAGGAAATAAAACTGCACCTTATTGTAATCAAACTTCATGAAAAAACAACGATTACCTTATGACTATCAAATCTCCACTTGGTATAAGGCAAAAGTTTGATACTTGGGTAAATAACAAGCATTCATCAAAATATACTATTATCTTAAAATAGATAATTTTATATGTACTTCTTTGATTTACATACATTCACGAGACTAATAAATAGCGGATGACTTAACTTGATAAAGGAACTATAAATAATTTGCATTATGAAGTGCGAGTTACACATAATTGACTAAGCGCTCTTAGTATAAAAGATTAAAAATGCCACTCAGTCCATTTTACAAGCTGTTGCAGTCATTTATATGTATATTTCTATAGTAATTTTAATTTAAAATTACCTAAGAGAGCGTATAAAAAGTTCATATAATTATAAAATGTTAAAAATAAACAATTAAGTACTAGAAATAAATAATGTTGATCGCGGAGAGGAGAGCGGTTGTAAACAGTGATGTGAGTGTGCTATATGCTATAATTGATTTGCCCACGATAATTTGTAAAGAGGCTGGAACTTCAAAGCACCGCTATTACTCTTAAGTAACCTAACTATCCCTTACTGTACAACTTACGTATCTATCCAAAACGATCCATAAAGTGCAACGTAACGTCCAATACTCCGTAGTCTTAAATATAAAAAATGTATTTTCGCATGTTGTGGCAGGAAAGTATATCGACGGCAATCATGTGTTCCGCTTACTCGACTATGACAGGTTATCTTACAGGGTGTCATGGGGTGTCAGTGGGGTGTCATAGTGTCAGCGCGAGGCGGGCAGCGCTCGCTGGTCGTCGGGCTCCTCCTTGGGCCGCGTCCACTTTATCATGGTCTCCGGCGAGCGATACAGGAACACCAGTTTCGCGAACAAGTCTTCTTCTAGCGCTAATTCGAGCGCTTCACGCACCTGGATATATAATAAAACAAATGTTAAAATCTATAATAATATGTCTTTTCCTAGTGTATGCATATTTTTAAGAAAGAATTCGTTAACTGTAGTCTATTAGAAAAACAAAGAATTGTTGATTGATTTTTGTATGAGGAATCTTAAGACTGAGAAAGTGATCTTATTGTATTCGTATGGTAAGAAGTGATAATTAATACACATGAAGTGAACATCTTGATTGTTTTATGACCGATCAGTATATTATGTGAGGTAATGAGAGTTGGTGTGAGGTTACATGAGGTGGTGTGAGGTTATATGAGGTGGTGTGAAGTGGTGTGGTGTGATGTAAGATGGTGTTAAGTGGTATGGTGTGATGTGAGGAGTGTCAAGTGGTGTGAGGTGATGAGAGTTGGTGTGGGGTGATGTGAGGTGTGAGGCGGTGTGAGGTTACATACAAGGTATATGTCTAGACAGAGCTGCAGCACGCGGTCCACGTTGGGCAGGTCGTCGAACATGATCTTGGTGTAGATGCCGGAGAAGAAGCCGCGCAGCACGCGCGACGCCAGGAACACGAACGTCGTGTACAGTCCGATTATACTGAACACATATTACATTAAAAAAACTTATTTGAAACAAAGTATATAGTTACTAGCTGTGGCTAGTAACTTCGTTCGCTTGTCGTCGTTTGTTGAATTAAAAAAAGACTAAAAACTTAAAAAATAAAAAATAACTATGTTACTCACTAATAATGTAGCTTTTCATTGGTGAAAGAATTTTTGAAATCGGCCCAGTAGATTTTGAGTAATTTAATTACATACAAAAATAAAAATCTTAACTCATTATAATGTTAGTATAGATTTTTTAAGTTTGGAATCATTTTTATGTGTATCTATTTTTTAGTTTAAGTAAAAATAGTTTTTTGAAATGTTTCTATATCCCTGTACATATTACAGTACGTTTAAAGCAATAAATAGATACATTTCCGCAGTAAATGTAACAACATGTCTTAAAGTTGACTCACCCGCCGGCGGATATGAAATTGAGCGTCTCTGGGAACAGCTTGTCGTTGAATGTGTACATGACGAGCATGTCGCAATTATTCATTGGTATTGACGCCATCGGGTCCTATAGATTTAAAATTACAATTTTATATTTAAAAATATACTTAGTTATATTGTTATTCATTAATAATGAGTGCAATAATACGTGCCCTGGTCTCGCAGGCCTCGCGCACGCGCCAGTACATGGCGCTGCCGTCGCGCTCCAGCCGCAGCTCCACGTTGCGGTACAGGCGCGCGTTCTCGTCTGTCACCATCAAAATAAACCATTAAACTAAAATGAATCATTAAATTAAAATAAATCATTAAATCAAAATGAATCAATAAATTAAATTAAATCATTAAATTAAAATAAATCATTAAATTAAAATGAACCATTAAATTGAAATAAATTATTAAATTAAAATAAATCATTAAATGAAAATAAATCATTAAATTAAAGTGAATCATTAAATTAAAATAAATCATTAAATTAAAATGAATCATTAAATTAAAATAAGTCATTAAATTAAAATGAATAATTAAATTAAAATAGATCATTAAATTAAAATGAATAATTAAATTAAAATAGATCATTAAATTAAAATGACCCATTAAATTAAAATGATTCAATGAATTAAAATGAAACATCGTTAAAAAATCATTATTTCTACAGTCTTTTTATATTATTTTTATTAAAAATAGTTAATAAATCAAGTTTCTTTTTTTATCATTTACCATCATCAGTGGTGGGTGGCATCAGCTGATACGCAGGCTTCGCTGCACCTTTGTTGAAGACTTTAACGAATTTCGGGAAGAGAGTCTTCACGTGTAACCTGAAAAAATCAAACACTCGATTTTATTTTTCGAACGTTCTTTTTGTTTCGCACAAACAAGTTAAAGAGGATAATACGTCACGGCCGAATACTTAAACTCCATTTAAATACACAGTCATAACTGATAAAGACAGACACAGACACATTTTAGTTGTGCAACTAAACAATTGAATTTGCTGCGGAACAATCGACAAACGACAATCGCACAACTGTTGTGCGATAGTTTAGTCAAAGGTGTGTGCCCGCTTTAAGGTTGCGAACTGGTCCAGATTCGCCTCGGAATTCGTTAATAATTCATTTCATATAATGTGAATCGGTGATTCGAGCCTTTTCACTTGAAACTGGTAGCAGGTGGTAGAGGCAATAGGTGGAGGTGTTAGGAGGTGGAGGGTGGAAGTGGTAGGTGGAGGGTGTAGGTGATGTTACCAGGTGTCGGGGGGCGAGGTGCCGGTGAGCAGCTGCAGCAGGGTGTCGCGCTCGGGGTTGGGCCTGCCGGCGACGAGCGCGGGCAGCGCCACCTCGCGGCTGTCCTCCATGGTGGGCGGGTTCTGCGCGTTGTTGCTCGGGTGCGTTATCACGTATGTGAACTTCACAGTCAGTGACGAGTCTGATAACGTCCGTATATTGTTAGAATAATGTGTTACAATAAACGATAAAAATGTATATGTAATGCTATATACATTATGCAAAAACGTACTTAATATTAGAACCTAATAAACCGATGGAATTGATAACGAAATAGATATACATTGCGAAGCCGGTTAAAAAATCCTAGTATTTATGCTATCTATAAGTCTAGTCTAGTATGATGATTTTCAGACAGCCAAAAATGCAATAATTATTCAGAAATAATTAGTCATTTTTTGAAAAAAAAAAATCTTAAATTTTTACTTATGTACATATCGACTTAGACGGAAATTTTACGTACATTGAAAAAAGTATCCATACTAATATAATAAAGCATAAAGTTACACTTAGACTCCGAGGGTAGACTCGGACCCCTTGGTGGGGACGTATAGTGATCTGGTGACGTGCGGTACTCACTGGAGGCCGCCTCGCGCTCGAGGCGCGCCAGCTCGGGGGGCGAGATCTCCCACTTCATGGTGGAGTTGGGGTTGATGGTGATGACGGCCACGTCGTTGTACATGTAGTTGGAGAGGAAGGTCTGCGCGGTGCGGTCGCGCGCGTACAGGTTGCTCAGCTGAGTGTAGTCTTGTTCTGAATAGCTGGAAATAAATATTCAAGACTAACTTACGCCCGCGACTACGTCCGCGTGACATTAAAAATGTGAATAGCCTATGTGTTTTTCCAGACTATGCTACATCTATACCAAATTTCGTAGACATCAGTTCAGGCTACAAACTGTAACAAACATCCATCTTTGGCAGTTATAACATTAGTATGATTTCTTGCTAATCACTGTAAAGAGTAGGAGCGATGGTTAAGCCAATTATAGTCAGATTTTTAATGTAGTAATTTAAGTACAAACGAGTGAAAATTACATATCAATGTTGTGGGACTGTGCCGACATCTGGTAGACAGGCAGGAAAGGTCCAATGCGGATCTTGACAGTCACATCGGTGGGAGGGTTTGGTTGACCGACCTTTAAACAGGAAAAATAAACAGATTTTCATTAGAAAACTCATAAAACAGTGTGTTAATTAAATATGAGATGCTCACAGAGTTTCCGAAGGCGAAGAAGACGAGTGGGAACCATATGATGGCGATGACGAAGGCGAGCACTCCGCCGCCCAGCAGGTACTTGGAGGTGCTGGACTTCTTGACGCCGCGCGGCTGCGGGAACTCGTCCTCCACGTACCGCGAACACTGATTACAATAACGTTGGTTTTTTAATTAATTTTAGCAGCTGTTATTTTAATCATTACATAGTATATTTTTGAGAAAATTACAGAATTAAATAACGCTTACAAATAGCGTTAGCTGGTGACTTTTGTAACTATTATTTGCACATTGCTAAATACCTTGAGTAGGAAAACGCTAGCGAATATATCCTCCATCTTGAGCCAGTCCAGCAGCGTCATGGAGGTGTCCGTCCAGATCCAATCCATCAACGTGCGCAGCTCGAACACGAATGGCACCGCCATAAAACTACAACAAACATGCAATAAAAATCAAGTTTTAACTAGACATGGAAAAAATATGTAATACTGATACGTTTTTATAACAATTAGTTTGTAAGTCCACACTAACGCTTTATGGACCTTTAATATCCGAAATAAATTATTTTCTTATTATTAAAATTCAATGAAAATAAAATAAGTTTTTAGGCTTTGAAATTCTTGACTCTTTGACCTGCGTGGGTATTACAAGAGAAAGTAGGCGGGGCGATTCGCCCCTCCCCTTTGAGGATTAAAAAATCTAAAAACAAAATATTACATCGTCCACATTATCCATATCTGTATGGAAACGGTCAATATTAAAGGGGTGGGGTCCCCCTAGATCATCAGTAGACAAAGCATGATATATTACATGATAGTGTACTGACCCTCTGAAGAAGATCATGTTGAGGAAGTGGTAGGACTTGCAGAGGAAGTTGCCGATGATGCGGCGCGGGTAGCCGCAGCGGATCTGGTAGGCCGACAGCAGCAGGTACACGCACTTCACCATGTACCACATCGGCGGCGGCAGCAGCGCGTTGAACGTCCTGAAACACAACAACCTTGAAGACGAAAAATTCTTCGTCTGGGTCCAAAGAGATTCAAATATATATAGTAAGCATATTTGACACTAGAAACATTTTTCTCGTAACCTCACTAGCGCTACCTGGTGTCCGATCTCAATCGCAAATAAATAAATAATTCAAACACGAAGAAACTTGTCATTGTCAGTGTCAAATTTGCCATTGAGATATTACCCTACAAAGTTACCGGTGAAAAATTATGTTCCCTATATCTAGTCTATACATTTCTAAAATATATAGACTAAACTAACCTGGTTCTTTGACACATCACTTTCTTACATTTAAAGGAATTAGTTTTATCCGCAATATGGCAAGGGTTTATATTTCTGGTCAGACTTTAAAAATTAATTAAAAAGCGGAAAACCCATTAGCCATATTTCCAACGTACATCTTGTTTGTTACTTATTGGTTGGAGTAATCCATAACCTGTCCTCACGTAAGAAGAGTTGCGGAAACCATAGGCCAACTACTACTTCTTCTAGGCATATACCTTTCAGTGATGAAGGGCAGCACAAAGAACATCCAGACGTGCACGCCGATGATGAGCGCGTACTGGAAGAGGATCTTGCCGAGCATGAACTTGCGCAGGTAGAGCGCGCGGTCGATGACGATCAGCGCGAACTGCAGGATCAGCATCACCAGGAACGGGATGGGCACCTTGTTCTCCTCCAGGTACGCCTGCACGCCGCCGTCGCCCTGGTGCGTCTGCGCAACGCGACCGACATTACTGCTAATTACTTATATCTTCTATATACACATATAACAAAAATTGGAATGCCTGTAATATCGAAATAAAAATTCCAGATTTCGGGAAGATGTATCAACGTTGCTGATAACGAAAATCGCATTTAAAAAATTTTTGTTTGTCTGTCTGTTTAATTTCTGTTAACTAATAAATATAAATGACTAGTTATCGCCCACGACTCTGTCCGCGCAAGATTAAAAAAAATTGCATGATCAATTGCCATCCATCCCACAAAATATTCCCATTTATGATATAAGTAAGACATTTTAAAATTCACATATATCAAAAATAGGTAAAAACATGACAAACCGTACCCCAAAAGCAGCAAAGCCGAATATAACAACTAGGAAGTTAAGAAAGTCGCATAGGAACATGTACGCGTACACGTCCGCGGTGACGCGCGCGCCCGGCGCCAGCATGCGCTTGAAGAAGCGCTGCGTCGGTCGCAAGTAGCGTTTGAAACTGAAAAAAAAAAAACAAAAAAGAAAAATAAACTCTCGTTTTTACTACCAAATGCCAAAGTAGTCAAGTAGACGAAATCTTAATGCTTTAGTAATCCTTCGTTAAGAGTATGGGATAATACGATACTTACGATAGTAACAATACTTGTGGATAATGTTTGTATGTATCTTCTAATGTCGTCGTCACAGCGATTATGGGCTCATCATCGTTTACTCTGAAAACAGAAATGTTTTATTTTTTTTAAATTGTAACTTAATCATACAATTATTATAAATGCGAAAGGATAGGTGTTTGTTATAGTTTTTTTCAATAAAATGTGACATAGATGTAGAGGATAGTCTGATATGATAGGGTACTTGGTTTTGTTTTTTTTTCAATTTCACGCGGACGGAGTCGCGGGCGAAAGCTAGTGAGATGATAAGAGCCATATAGGAGCCATATTGTTGTTTTCATTGTGTGTATGTCAATTTACTTGTAGTGGTCGTCGTCCGGAGGTTTGGAAGGCCCTGCCTCCTCCTCCTGCTGCTCGTCCAGTTCCGGCACCGCACTGATGGCCAGGCTGCTCGCCTGCCCCGCCGGCCCCGCGCCGCCCCCGCCCCCGCCCCCGCCCCCGCCCCCGCCCTCGCCCGCCTCCGCATTACCCTCCACTGCCCTACAAACAGGTTTCACTTTTTTACGTCGATACACCATGTACTACTTCAGTAACTACCGCGTATTGTTTATTTAATTCATTAAAATGAATTAGGCTTGCACTTGTCTTAGGCGACATTAATGTACAATAGAATTTGCTAATTTAAGTTACTAAACTACTTAGCTACAGAAATACTTATTCAATATATTAGTATACTTATAAGTACTTTATTTACTATGTTACTTATAACTACTTAATAAATAAATACAAATATTCAACACTACAAATCAATTAAATACAACAGGAACATACAAATACATAATAATACAAGTGAATTTAAATAATACAATCGAGAAGAGTTGCGCCTTGTCCAGAGCATGCGCACGAAGCGCGGCGAGAGGCGCGAGTAGCGGTTGCGAACGCGCATGCGAACGTGCACGTCGTAGTCGACGTTTGTGGTGTGTTCATGTTCGCGCTCGTGTTCGCGAGCCTCCCGCGAGCGCCGCGCCGCCAGCGCCGCCAGCGCCTCCCGCAGCCGCGCCGCGCGCACACCACTGTCTGGTCCCCGAAATAGGCATAAACCGCTGTCTAACACCACACAATTCCTCACACACATTTTACTTACACTTTTTTTATCATTCACACACCTATACTAATATTATGAAGAGAAAAAAATATATTTTACAGCGGTAGAGCCCGCTTTAACATCTTTGCACGAATGGGCCAGCTCGCCCGGTGTAATACCACGACCACACAGAAAACAGGCCTAATTTTAGTCCCTTTCCCTTTCCACCCTTTTCTTAGAGGAAAGGATGGGAAGGAAAGTGGATTGGACGGTGGATGAGCTGCATAGGAAGGGGAAATGTCCTCTTTATGTGCGTCTCCTCCTCCATCAATTAATTTCAAAATTCAAAAATTTTACTTATAAGCTACGTTATCACTGACTAACATAGGCAATCAGAAGAACATACGTATGCTGCGTAAATAAGTACAGTACATCTTGTAGGTCTTAGTCTCCTTGAAGCTATGTGGGGCATTACAAATCCCAAAATACAAATGACAGTACAGAGCGCTCACAAGAAATGACGGACGTATGGTGGTTGTTAATGTGTCGGTGTACTAACGGTGCGGTGCGGTCGTGCAGACGCAGGTACTTGCGGCCGACGTCCGCGCCGCGCCCCTCCACCACCAGCCGCGTGTCGTCCGCACTCAGCGCGTACTGCGCGTCCTCGCGCAGCTCCAGCTCCGGCGACGACTCCTTCCACAGCCCCAGCGACTTCAGCATGAACCTGCACACGCGCAATAACTGTACTAACTTCACATTTACTAACAAAACAATGGATGTATATCTGTGAAAATGTATATAACATACAATACTAGCGCCGACACTAGATCCTCAGATTCAAGGTGTAATTTTACTAATCTTACTGATATTATAGATGCAAAAGTTAAGATGGAAGAATGGATGTTAGTTCGTAGCCTAAACGGCTGATTTCGATGGAATTTATACATGTAGAGATTGCAGTTTGGTTGAACATATAGGGCATTTTAATTTCTTTCTGAAGGAATCGCAGGCTATTTAACACTGGCTGATAAATAGTGTAAAAACCTTATTTAATATTTAAACTACCAAATGCAAAAGAAGTCATTCAAAAAACATTTTTACTTTCTCAGATTGACGCAAACAAACAAACCAATACTTTTATATGGTCATAGCTACCTATGCAAAAATATGATAAGCAGGAGCAACAGGTCGTAAAGTGCGTAGTTATATTTCCTCTCAATGCCGATAATGCGCGGCGCGGTGAAGGGCATGTTGGCCGGGATCGCCTTCTGGTTCCACGGTAGGATCTCGAATTGGAACATACTCTTTATGAGCACGATAACCTACAAACAAAAATATGAATTAGTACATATTTCTGAATTAAATTCAGTTTTAATAAAAAAAATATAAAAAAAATTACCTCCGTATAAGCAATTAATGTAACCCAGAATGTTTTGGTAGGTCGTGGTATAGTAACTGTTCCCCACAAGAACACCATAAGCGGCAACGGGATAGAGAGGATCGTCGCAGATTGAATCTATAATAAAAAAAAACAAAAAAATTGCTTAACTACAACGATTCTGTAGTCTGAATCTTGTCCTGGACAAGGGTTTGAAAAAAAAATCGCAGATGAAATCTTACTAATATTTTAAATGAATGGATGGATGTTTGTAACCTAAACTGCTGAATGGATCTCGATGGAATTTGGCATAGATGTAGAGGATAGCGTGGAAGAACACATAGGCTACTGACTTTTGTTTTTTTAATTCCTTACGGATAGAGTCGCGGGCGAATGCTAGTTTGATATAATTATTATAGTGAAATAACATGCGTACCTGGTTTATAAAAACCATGATATAGCAAACGATGTCTGTATGGGCGAGCACCGCATACCACAGCGCGTAGGCGAGATGTAAAATGGGCGACTTATCTTGTTTAAACATCGAGTCATCTTGCTCTTCCAACGTAGTCACGTCCTTGCTGAAATTACACCAATATTCAATAATCCTACTTCAAAACAGTCATACAATACCAAAGATGCAACGTGCTATAACACACCAATATATCGAACAAATGCCGCAAGATATTGCTGAAAGAGATTTAAAAATAATGTGAAAAACATAGAAACATAGATAATAAACAACATCTTTATCATTCAGAATAGATAAAGGAAGTGGAAGAAGAAAAATATAATAGATCTGAGGTGAAAAATGTACTGTTAAATTCCAATCTCCAAAAGTATACAAAATATAATAAATTATAGCCATAAGTAAAATACTTACTCGACAATGATAGTTAAAATAATGAAGATGTGAGAAAAAGAAAAATATAAAAGAAGAAAAAACAAGAAAGCAAGCTCATATCAAGCGACGACATTTATTTCATCCAATGGAATTTCGGACATATTCACAATGTTACCAGGATTTATATGACTCGAAAATACTCGTAGCAGTAGTTGTTTTTTTAATTGTAACGATTACTTTTAGATCTCTAGAATGATAGATGTTAAAAGTTGTGTCGTAAATTCCATTAGAACCATCGATTCAGTAAACCTTTCGGTAGTCTGTAAGCTAAACGCGCTCTCGTGTTCGGAGGTGTCGTCCGAAGGCGCGGGCGAGGCGGGCGAGGCGGGGCGCGGCGGGCTGGCGTCCAGGCCGCGCTCCATACTCGGCGCCAGAATGCGGATCTCCGGCACGCTTATTTCGCTTAATTTACGACTGTAAATACCCCACCATTCTCTATATTTCAACCGTATTTTTAACTTCTATTTTGTCTTTTTTTTAATAAATTCAGAAAGGTTACTTTGAGTTATATTTTCAAATGTGTGCCCATTTTACAGTCGTTTCTCGAGTTATCTCTTGCCAGTTTTAATTTATATTAATCGTTAATGCGTTCCCTGTGCATGCATCTAATGACGTGTGCTAGTTATGCGTAATTATATTCTAATTGCCATAAACCTACGATGAGTTAAATGATCCAACGACCATAAACAATGAAACCAGAGAAATCCAGTATGATTTTAATACAAATTTGTAATAAGGTTTATTTTTTATTTAATCTAGTATCTAATTGGTACGATATTAACCATGCGTTAATAAAAGCGTAATACAAACCCCATCTCGACAGAGGGCACCTGCAGACGTTGGTCGGAGTGCTCCCTCTCCTCTGGCATACTACGCGGCGTGCGGAAATAAAAACTATTGCTATCACTTAACACTACAATACTAAACTCCATACTATGATCTTTTAAATCCAAAGCTACATGCTCCTAAAATACTACAGCCTCTAATAGTCTATGGAATCAAACAGTCATCTATAAGAGATTTCTTAAAACATTCCATTTAAAATCAATCAATTAAAAACAGCACTACAAGTCAGCTTAGTTCAACAAAAGTCTAGTCTAGTAATTATAGTAGTTATCTCTAAGAGCTATCTAAACGTGCAAATATTAATAATAAACACTTACTGATGGGCTAAAGTTTCCGGCAACGGCTCCCATATCATTTGAGATCCCTCTCGGAGTCCGATACCGAAGCCTTCCTTTTCCTAAAACAGTACATACATATATACATATAGCGATAATATATCTGGTCAGGCTATAAATGAAAAATAGAAGCAAGATAATACCTTAAGCTTTTTCTTCTCGACAGAGAGTGTTTTTGAAACGTAGCGGTAATCCCGGGAATACTTCATGAGATGCCTCGTCAGCGAGACCAGCAGGCTAGAGATGAACGCCCACGCCGTCCGCATGTACGTGTACAGCTTCTCAAGGGATGATTCTTTCTCTGTTTGCCATAAATACCATACAAACATTTAAATTCATACTTACTTATTTATCTAAGGAAGTTAAAAGATGGAAACAGTTGTAAAGAAGTACCAATTATGGGGCTGATGTGTTCTAAGGAAATAAAATCCCTATAAAAAAAGAAGTACTATCTTACTTCGTTCTTAATAATATGAAATGCGGAAATTTAGAAGTATATACAAAACGGATCTACAAATATCGCTTAAATTTGGCTTAGATGTGGATTATAGTCTGGAAGAACACAAAGTACTCATAAAGTGTTTATATAAATTTCCCGCGGACAAAGTCGCGGGCGAAAAATCTAGTCATTTTTTTAAATTTAATGTATTTAACAGTGTTCTCGATAAGCTATTACAAAAATTTGTTACCATATTTTGATGGTCAACATATTTGAGTGGTTTCATACCTGGCATCACTCCGTAGTCATCTATTTCCGAGGGCTGACGGTCTCTATCGGAAAGTTCGTCATCGCGATCCGACATGTCCGCGCCCGACGGCGACCGCGTGCGAAGCTACCATAAAAACAATACAATAACAATAAAATAAGTATTATTAGACCAAGAAAGTACACAATTTCTCGGTGTTTATACAAGTAAGAAAGTGAAAGAAGTATATTTGTATATATTTGATTAACAGTTAATAAATCAGAGATTATGAAAGTAAATTTGGAAAAAAACAATATTATTCTTTGTTGTCATACGTTTATTCATCGAAGTAAAATAATATTAATTGAATAATGTAGGCAAATTAATGTTATGAAATAACATAAATGAGCAAAGAATGATAACTTAAAAAAAAATAATATTGATTAAACACGAGTAAAACTTTAAAAAGTAACAAAAGTAAGCATTGTGTTAATAAGAACAAAGAAGCAGCAAGCCAACATAAAAAACATGCAGAATAAACACGAATTTAATTCAAATTCCACTTACCATTATTGACGAACGCAATTCAATTACAAAATACTGGATAGAAAATATTCTATTCTTGTTACAGCGGTAAAACCTTATACCTCTGAGATGTAAAAAAACTTTATTTCTACTGAAAAAGGACTTCAGAAAATGTGCAAAACAATAGCAACATAAACAAAAAAAACATTGAAATGGCTTCGAAAATGTTACTAGTCTTAAATGAACACTTTAAGCGTGTGATCATCTTTCTGTGAAGTTGTGTCTGAAATGCGATGCCATTATTTTCCTAGAGGGTCTATTTTTACGCTTAATATCTTAAGATGGGTATAAAGGGAGTGTAGGTGTTACTTGTACCTGATGTGGGTCGGAGTGCGGATAGGTGCCGAGTGAGAAGTGCCTGTCGGTGCGCGCGGCGGGCGCGGAGGAGCGCCGCGCCGACACCGCGCGCCGCAGGTCAGACTTGATCACCGTCGACAGCAGCTACAACGCAACGCGGTAAGCGCTCCCCACCACCCTTACTGACCCACCCCACACACCAACATTGTCGCTTCCAGATACTTTACATTTTGAATATACTATTTGTTTTTAACTTTTTACTTTACAGAATCAAAGTGCTTTTCGTCAATTACATCTTACTAATATTATAAATGCGAAAGTATAGATGGATGGATGGATGTTTGTTAGAGTTTGTAGCCTAAATGGCTGAACGGATCTCGATTAAATTTGGCATAGACGTAGAGGGTAGTCTGAAAGAACACATAGGTTACTCACTTTTGTTTATTTTTAATTCTACGACGGAGCCGCGGGCGATAGCTAGTTTTACATTATAAAAACAAGTTTATTCAAAAAGGTACAACTTTATTGTTTTTACTCATATTCTGAATTATTTTTAAATTGATCAAAATCGTAAGTATTACATCTGGAAGTAACACATGTCAGCTACAACAAGGCAGTGCAAGTTACCGCTTTTGTTAGTCACTAGAAGCGCTCCGAAGCTAAAGCCCCGTTTACCATTTTATAAGCTATACCCAAACATTGTCGACCTCACACTCCTTAATGATTCTTAACTTTAAAACAGACAATAAGAATGGAGCATGCTTCCTCAAAACCTTATAAAAAAAAATTAACTCCTTTAAAACATGCTCATCTTTTAACCATAACTGTCTGCTAAATACCATAACCATAACTGAAAATCATCACGTATTAAAGGTTCCTTTACACGGTACAAAAACGTTAACAAAAACAGTCTTTTTAATTTATTTCAACCTATTTCGTGATGATTTTCAAGTTCCAGAAACCTTATAAAATTATGACCAATGTGTTTCTTATTAGTTTGAATTACCTTGCCGAATCCCATTTCTTTAGGTGCATCTTCATCGGAACTTGAATCGTCGTCTTTCAAGTGCAAGTCGGTGTCATCGAATTCATCGAACATGTAGTAATCTCCCGAACGCACGGCTGTATACAGATAACAATACTTCAGTAATGAGTCATTCGTAAATTAAATGTGGATTGTAAAGCAAATGTGAATTAGTGTAACTGGATTAAATTCAGTTAAACAAAACTTTAATTATAAATTAAATAATTAATGAATTAATAATACTATTTTATTTGTTGAATTAATTTAGATTTTTTAATATGTTTAAAATTTAATCTTTGTAAAAATAATAATAATATATTTTAATTTTACTATAGCTATAATGAATTAGCAATTTTAATTAAAAATACTATGATAAATAATTATAAGATTCTAATACTGTGTTAAATATGTGTGTGTAAACATAAATTGTCGGTTAGAAGAAAATGCCCAAAAACATGCAAAGTAACAGACAAAATGGCAGCGAGTGCAACAAGCCTAGAAGCGACCAATCGGCAGACATGCAGCCAGTGCTCGGGCGTGTTCTGTCTTCTTTGACACGTGAAATCATTGAATATTTACATTTTTTTACATTGATTTCGATCCCACGAGCTAATCGTCAGGATAAGACAGCTCCCGCCAAAACAATGCATCCGACTTGCCTACATACCATCACCTAGAAGCTCAATGGTTAGTACGGTACATGTTAGCGCGAGTATATCCGAGACTGAACGTTACCCTTCTGATGGCTGGCGGGCGGCTTATACGGCGGCCTGTCTCGTGCTACAAGAAAAATGCACAGCTCAACACTACAGTCTCACACATTATGATATAGCCAAGGGAAATTACTGCTAGATTATATCGGCGGCGAAGTTACGTCGACGTCACCCTCGCGCTCGGAGTTATTGCAAGCTGCGCTACCTGACGCGGAATTAGTATACCAATTGAACGTAAGACGTTAATACTTGCAGAGAAATTTAGGTGCTCGCTAGAGGAATGTGGACCTCGAAAACATGAAAACGTACGTTCTCTCAATTTTCTCGGTTCGGAATATTAAAAATTTGTTCCTCGTCACTTTGAAGAGACTTTAAAAGACAATCACTCGGACATGAAATAAAAAAAGTACGTTATAACAAAAATGTTCCCACACCAGCCCTTTGTTAATGTCGACTATACCTTCGTGTCGCTTAGTGAATATGCGTCTTCTAGTCGCACGACCAGACTCACTTCCTATATGAATAGAAACAACATTATAACATTTTAACACGTAACTTTAGATCGATGCTTTACATTATTTACAATGAGGAATATCAAATCGTGTACATAATTGATAGACGCACTAAATCACATCTAGATGTATAAATGTGCACAAGAGTCTGTTCAATTACAGGTGTGGTGAGAGTTGGGCTCTGCGCGGCTGGACTGCGAGATGAGGGAGGTGCGCTGCACGCTGGGGCTGGC